CAGCCAGTTCTTTATCCACTGAGTGGTCCGTGCATCAAATCCATGTCTCGCCATCTTCGAGACAAGGATGTCATGTGGGACAGTGTCAAACGCCTTGCACAAGTCTGGGTGAATGATGTCACAGCCAGTTCTTTATCCACTGAGTGGTCCGTGCATCAAATCCATGTCTCGCCATCTTCGAGACAAGGATGTCATGTGGGACAGTGTCAAACGCCTTGCACAAGTCTGGGTGAATGATGTCAGTTGCTTTTCCCATGTCAACCAGAGCTGTAGCTTTGTCACAGAAGGCCACCAGATGAGTCAGGCACGATTTGCCCTTAGTGAAGCCATGTTGGCTGTCACTGATCACCTTGTTATTTTTCATGTGCCTCAGTACAGCTACCAGAAGGATCTGTTCTATGATTTTACCTGGCATGGAGGTGAGGTTTATTACCTGTTAACTGAAAAATCTAGGGAAATGGGATATGTGGGATTTTCTTTTTCAGAAAAAACTTCTGTGTTGAGAGACATGTAGAATATATGGGTATAGCTCCAAGTTTAAGTATAATTTTATACAGTCATCATTGTGAAAGTAATACATGCAATCATTCTGAATAAACTAGAAAATCAATCTAATTTGTAAACCTCTGTGTGAGCCTTTACAATTGGCATATTTCTCTCTCTTTCAGAAACCATAAAAATCTCAGCACTCAGACTTAGTGAGATCTCTAGAAAAAGATCACATTTGTCACTGGTGAGCTGAACATCTGCTAGAATAACCAGTTAATGCCTACTTCCATACATTAGAGAGTCAACCGAATTCTTGTTAGTCATGTATAAACAGCTAGTTTACTTCCCCTTGTTTTTCTGTTGTTAAAAATGAAGTCCTAGATCCTTCAAGGTACTGGATCTGTAGCTGCGGTAGAAATTAATCATTAATGTCCAAATAGTTCGACATGTCTTCCTGTTTTAGGGATAAAATTTATTTCCCAATCTGTTGTGATAGGCAGTTGGAGTAACCACTCTCCTTGAGTATTTTTCTTACTGGTTGTATCTCCAGGGATAAGTTTCTGACTTTTTTTTTTTTTTAAAATTTTTAGGCCTCATTTAGGCAAGACAGAAGCGAAGAGGGTGCTTTGTTCTATTGTTCCCTGATAGTGGGTCAATGCCAGCTGACATGACTAAAAGCTGATGAGACCTCAATAATTTTTTTTTTGGACGTAGTCATTTATTGATTTTGAAAAAAGGTATCAGAGTCCTCTCATTCTGTGCTGACCTCGGGCTATGCTGAGATGTGCCCAGTACTTCCACATTGTGAAGTATTTCTAATGGCCATCTGTTGGCTCGCTGTGGGGTTTTTTGGCAGGGGGATTGCTAGCTGTTTTTTGGTGGTGTTTTGCTTTGTTTAAACTATAGATCTTTGTTTTGACTTCGAACTGGATTGAAATGTAATGAATTGAGTCTGCAGTATTGTCAAACAAGCATTTTATTTTGTAAATCTGAGAATAGTAATTAATAAGGGGGCCGGTTAGCTCAGTGGTTTGAGTGCGGTGCTGACAACAATGACCAACACCGAGGTCACAGGTTCGATTCCCGCTCGTTCCCCATGTGTTGCCTGGTCTAGTCAAGAGGTGGTGTCCCTGCCCATAAGAGGGAAGTTGGACTAGATGATCTCTAAGGTCCCTTCCAGCCTATGCCATTCTATGATTCTAATGTTTATGGATTGATTTTTCACATTTTTTTCAATTGGTAAATAAAAAAGAAAATAAATCCATAACACAGAGATTTTTCTAAGCATATATATTTGATTAAATGTATATTCTGCCCTAACAAAACTTTTTTTCTATCTTAGTGGATGATGTAGTAGATGAAAGTGATGATAATGATGATGCTGAAACAGAATCAGAAATTGAAACCGAAAATGCTGATGACAGGGACCAACATTTTAAGGTTGGTATCACACAAAATTAAGAGGCAAGTGTCAGACATAATACGTTTTTTGTTCTTTTAAGTTGCTTGAATCATGTATACAGCTGTATGTTTTGTGTTAAAAAGACACTGAAGAGGTTTTCAAGGCAATTTCTAAAATTAAAAAAGGTCCTGAAACTTAAAGAAGGTGGATGCTGCTTGAAAATATCAACCTTTTTCTGTTCAAATTGCTTCAAGTTTTTTATCAAAACCTTGCTTCACACTTGACGTATCTGGAGTACAGTGGAACAGAACTGTAAATTCTTTTAGTGGGGTTTGGTTCCCAACTTGTATTTCTCTCAGTCCCCCCTTCCTATCTAAGCTGCTCTAACTTTTTTCATCTAGACTGGGATTGACTTGCGTCAGTGTTTTAGCAAGGTAACTTTGAGGTTCAGCCAGCTGTAGAATTGGAGACCGGACATCTCACTGTTGTGTAACTTTGGGAAGGTCTTGTTCTGCTCTCCAGCAGCCAGTCAGAACATGAAAAGACATTTAGTCAGAGCTGCCTTACTTTGTATTTTTATGTTACATACAATCAAGAATTAATTGAATTGTCTGTCCACAGTCTGGAATGACAGATTTTATTCAAGATTCTCATGAGCCTGCACAGAGGCAGTATCTTCTACAGAAGCAGTTACTCCATTGTCCCTGCAGTCAGATGAAATTTCTGTGTTCCAAGTTACAATAGTTGGATTATGCTACAGTAAAATGTAGTCTGATGTCTGTACATAATACGTTTGGATGAAGACAAGAAAATTGAGATGTTTAATATTTCTGTTGAAATGAAGGCTTTGGCGTACAAATAAAACGGAGCTGTTTAAACCTTCATGGTGAAAGCTGCAGTACAGCTAATTAATAGCAATATTCAGCTTCTAAAGCATGGCTATATCAGAACTAAGAGGTGAATGTAATTATTTTAGAAGTTCATTAATTCTGGATGTAAGATTAATTTGTTCTGATGCTCTTTCAGAATGATGATATTGAGACTGATATTAATAAACTGAAACCTAGGCAGGAGTTGGGAAGACCCATAGAAGAACTGAAAATGTATGAGCATTTTTTCCCAGAACTTTCAGAAAACTTTCAGGTAAATATGATTCCCATGGCATTCCTCATCATGATGGGTTGACTTTAGAATACACTTTGATGTTATTTTTTTGGGTGGATAGTTGCTCTAGCCAGTCTGCAGTTCTAGAACTACATATGAGAGTGCTATATAGTGAGTTGAATTAAATGTTATGGATTACTTTAATGTGACTGAGAAAGAGACTGTAGGCAGATGTAAAGGAAAACTGTGTTCTGGTGTCTGATTATTGTATGCAGCGGAAAATAATAAGAAAGGACAGGAGATTTCTGACCATTGTATTAAATATATCCTTAAATTCTGTGTACTTCCTTAAAGCAGTTGGTTAAAATATCCAGGGAACTGCATTGACTTGATAATTTATTATTGATGAACTACTTTGACACTGTCTTCTTCTGAAAGCTGAAACTTCATTGCTAAGTTCATGTAAGTTTAAAGCATAACAACTGTTGTCTTTTAAATTACACTTATTTTGGATTATTGCCAAACATATCTCAGGAACAATGAAAAAGAAGTGTTCTAAAACAAATGGGACTTTAGGAACTGTTTACTGTTTTAAAGAATAAATATTTTTTTTATTTTTTTTTTATTTTTTAAGGAATGTGACTTAGTTTCCAAGGAACCAAAGCCTTTTGTACCTGATACAAGTCCCGGTGGACCTATTGTTGTTCCTACAGCAGGAGAGGAGCACTCTGGTGAAGCAAACCAGTCAACAAAAGGAGTTGCTCTGGAGAGCAATCCATTATTAACAGAGGAATACAATAAAAGGCCAGCCTTTCTGGAACTACCAAAGAAAGATAGTATCAGAGACAGTAGTTTACATCAGCAAAATGATCAAAGAAACCTGCTTCCAGCATGTCAGTGTCTAAGCCAAGAAATTGTGAACGGCTTGGACAGACTCAGTCTGCAGAACAGTGGAAAAAATGATCAGTATTATGATACAGGATGTGTAATTAAGAAGGAAAGTAAAACTAGTCTTACCATGCTTGCTTGTAGTAAACCTTGTGAACATGCTTCACCCTGTGGAAGTAGCCTCTTTGAAGGATCATCTGTCCAGCTGGGAAAACTCTGCTGCACTGGAGTGGACTCGGAGGAGGAGGATTCCAGATCTAGTTCTTCAGGGGAACAAGTCACGCGCCAGGTTTCTGATGTGTCACCAGTTCATGACTGTGATCTTTACATTGAAATGGTAAAAACCACAAAGTCTATTCCTGAATATTCAGAAGTGGCCTATCCAGATTATTTTGGCCATATTCCACCCCCATTTAAGGAGCCCATTCTGGAAAGACCATATGGAGTGCAGAGGTGAGTTACCATACTCCTTTTTTATTGTTGTTCTCATTCCTTCGAGAAACAGTCTTCAGGCTGAGATTAACAGGCTCATACAGAGTGTTTCTCTGGCATCTAAAACTATTTTCAGTGAAAAGCAGTTTGAAGGTAGATGATTAGGCGTTGATCAGTGCAGAGACATAGACAAGAACATAATGTGATTTTGTGATTGCTAATTCTGTAAATAAGTTTCTAAATACTAAGTTTAATCTATAGTCTCCCTTCCTGCCTTCCTACCATTTCCATCTAAGTTCTGTAGTTTGTAAAAAAAAAAACCCAAACAACAAACAAAACAAAACAACCCCAACAAACACACCACAAAACCCCCCCACCCAAACAAATGAACAAACCAACCAGAAAGCTCACCTCAGACTTTAGCAAAGTTAGGACAATTAACAGTTTGAAGATACTTCAGCTCTTCTCTTTGCTGTGCTAACAAAGCTATCTTTTATGGAAATGTAGTGGGGGAAAAAATTTAGAAATAATAACACTTAACAGTTTGGTTTGAGTGTTCACAGTATAACAGAATTTAGAGGTAACAAATAGTAAGGTTGCAGTTTATGTTAGGAATGTCACAAACACAGAGTGAAAAAATAAACAGGTATATATGTTGGGTTTTTCTATTTGTTCCATTTCTTTGCTGAGAGATATTAGAAGGTGATGAAGGATGATGTGACTTAAGAGTAATTTGTAGAGCCCGTGGTAAAGAGCTGGCTCACACGTGTAGTAAGTTACTATGAAGACAGATAAGTGTGCTAGCAGATTATGTGATAGTAGGTATGAGACCTTGCCACTTGCTTAATTGTTAGGTTGAATGCTTTCAGCTTTATACTTAAAACTTTAACTGGTTTAATAACTAATTCAGTAATTAAAATGATGAAGAGATTAAGTGTCATTAGGTTATAATTAATTTAGGTATAATTAAAATCTTTTAGCTGTTTCATGTGGTCTGAAAAAGTGATCTTTGTAGAGAAATGAACAAATGTTGAAATACTAATGACATAATGAATATACCCTTGCTAAAAAAGCACCATTCAGTGTTGAAAGAGAATAATTTTCCGTCTAAGCTTGTGTTTCAAACACATTCAACTGGCTTAGAAGAAAGATAGTCTTGAGTCAGATATCACCCAAAAACTGTATTTTAAGAAAATCTTCCAAATCTCCCTCTGTGTTTTTGTAGCACTTAATAATTTTGAATTTTCCTGAGTAAAACTGAGTGAAATCAGATAAAATTTGTCATTCCAATGCTTTTTCTTCCAAGATAAAAAGCACTGTATTGACTCTGATTTTTAACCAACAAACCTGCTTGTGTGGTTATAGCTACAGCTGTTTTCTAAACCATGAAGGTAATTGTAGTGTATATTTTATTTTAACTTTAAAATGTTCTATTATTATTGTATTTTCTATATATAAAGTATCTTTCTTAGGTCTTGTATGAAACAAGAATGAAAAATCAGGTAATATTGCTAAACTTCATTGAAAAAAATCCTGCATTGCCTTTTTAAGGTACATTATTCCAAGAATTCAATTTTCTACAAATGGCTCAGTCTTTTAGTGCAACATAACAAGTTTCTGAGAAGGGAACCTGTTTAAAAAGGGCTTAATCTTTTTAGGAATTTATAGTTTATAGGAAAGTGATGGGAATTAGTTGGGTAGGGAATATGGAGAAGCTTCTAAGTCTTCTACAAAGACTTCTGTGTCAAAACTCATTTAGCATTCAGTGGCATTTATGTTCTCCTTGATGTAAGCAGTTGGTTACTGCTCATGAGCTAAGTCTTTAGAAAATAAACAGTTTTACCTTGATCCAAACTTGTAGTTTAAGAAAATGTGGGGAGCTGAGGTGGTGAGTTAGTGGGTTTTCTTTTTACTTTTATTAGACAAATGTGGTGGGGGTTTTTGGGTGTGGTGGTTTGGGTTTTTTTTGTTGATTTTTAGTCTTGCAAAATGCTAGGAGGTGCAGTGTTTTTGAATTTGTGCTTTGGAGAGATTTTGGCTTTTCCTTTACATTTAGTAGCATGTAGTTTTCACCAAAAGTCTCACCAAATAATTATTGTTTTGAAAAATTTCATTGAGAATAACCAAAGTGTTTTATATTATTTGACCTTTTAGAGATTATATAATTCAATATGCATTTGGGGCTAAATTTCAATTTTGTTCCATTCCTTAACCTTTTAGGTTGTTTTTTTTGCTGTACACTTAATATTTCTAATCAACTGACACTTGGAAGAGATCATCAAGTAAAAATCAGGACCCACAAAGGGACTCATCTGTAAACACAGAGCTCCACGTCAACACTATTGTATCTGTATTTTTTTCCTTTAAATATCTTAAAACGCATTCTCTTTTATCTTGGTTTTTCAGAACCTGAAAATGTCTGCTATTGCTTTTCATTTTTTTGTGCATCTTGAATACCATTTCTTCTTTCCTTTTGTCTTCATTTGTTATTACTATGGTATTTGAATGCCTGATTAATGGATTTTTGTCTTGGCAAAACTCCCATGATGATAGGAAGTATTATGACCCTTTAGAGCCGAGGCATATTGAGATCTATGGAGTTGTGTAAGAACAAGCGCAAGATAAAAAATTTGTAGTTCTCCCCTGAGCTGCACCTGGTCAGATAGATTGTGGTGAGTCAGCCTCTTTACATTTTTGTAAGTGCATTGGATTTGTGACTTGTTTTCTTTTCCAATTAGTTTTAATTTAATAAAAGGTACTAGAGATGTGCACTTACCTTCTCTTTCTCATTTGTTAACAATATTTATGGTAATTAAATTGAGAATTTCCAGTCTGAACATACTTTACCACTCTATTCCTGTGTCCTTCGTTGTTAATCTGCCTCCTTTTCTTCTTATTGCAGGTGCTGTGCAAGCTTTTCCACACAGCTCTGCCACTATATTTCATTCTTGAACTACAACACATTCTTACTTTTCCAAACCAGGACCTAGATACTGACTGCTATGCAATGTTTTTATGATCTGGATAAACATACACCTGACATTTGGCTGACATCACCAAATTCATTCTTATTTGTTACCTAGTTGATAAATGAACCTAGACCTCCAGAGGTGAAAAGTTAGTGCACTAACACACTCACTGCATGATGTACTCTCTAAAACTCTTCAAGCTTAGTCATGGTAGGACTTCTGTAAGTTACTAATGTTATCAAGTGCTGTTCTGAATTATGGAGCATTAACATAAGTAACGTTTGAGTAATTCCTGCTTCTACTATAAAAAATGAAACAGTGCATATTTTTTTTTTTTTGGTAAGATGAACCCCAGTGGGTTTTGTGCATGAAAACTCAGTTCCCTCACATACAAGTATTGGACTCGGCCAGCTGTGAATACAGGTGTTTGAACTTTAGTACACTTACAGTTTGTGCACGTAAGTGGGGGTGAGATTGAGGTCTCTGAAATTCTGTCTCACTGTCTTCATGTCAACTTTGTTAGTTTTCATTGTTGTATGAGGTAATGTGTCTTTTGTAATTGGAAACAGGAGGCAACAATTTAAATGGAACTCTGTTTTCTATTTTAGGACAAAAATATCTCAAGATATTGAGAGATTGATTTATCAAAATGACATTATAGACAGAGTTGTATATGATCTTGATAATTCCTGGTAAGTTTTTACCCTTCGAAAACAATATTCAGCCAGTACTGTAAGCCTGTTCTACTTCCTCTGTGACAGGATTTGTTATACCTAAACCAGTACTATTATGACAGACTTGAACAAAAGTTTCATCTCATGAAACACCTATGACAGCAGATGTTTCTGCTGTCCAGACTGTATTTAGAGGATGGTTCAAAATAGTTTCTGAATTACCAAGTAAAGGCTAAAATAAACTTCCTGAGTTTCAGTTAAGTTTATTTTATTTTATTCATTTTGGTCCCTTTTCTTTTTCTACTCTTAGTTGTTCAGCACCAGAGAAAGCAGGTGTTTTGAAGTTTAATTCCAAGTTTGAATCTGGAAACCTGCGCAAAGTTATTCAGATCAGAAAGTAAGATACTTCAACTCTTCTTTTCACACATAAGGCCTTTTATTTCTGCTTCTTAAAAACTTACTGATTTTTTTAATTAATCTTTAGAAATGAGTATGATTTAATTCTGAACTCGGACATAAACAGCAATCATTATCATCAATGGTTTTACTTTGAAGTCAGTGGAATGAAAACTGGCATTGGTTACCGGTTTAACATCATCAACTGTGAGAAGTCAAACAGTCAGTTTAACTACGGTAAGATGCATTTCCCATACTTTCAGAAGAATTTTGTAGAAAAAACTCTGTATTAGACAGCTCAGCTGTTCCCTTACCTTTGCTGTGGAATCAGCAGTATATTCCTGTTGTAAGATTTTTTTTTTTAATGGTGTCACCAGAAAATACTTTGACAAGCCCGTCAGTTTATAAAATGAAGTTTTGATGTAAGTGAGGCCAAAGCAGAAGAAATTTTTTGGTGGCTGCAGGTAAAATTCATCCTAAGACCACTGATGGATGTGGCAAAGCCAAAGCCTGTTGATTCACACAGGTGCAGGAAGAATGACAGTTGTCATCATCAATCCTTTTCTGAATAAAGGTATATTTTCAGATGTTAAAGTAGGCAGAGACATTGTCAGTTTTGTCGGATTGATGGGAAGGGAGGCACATTATTTAAGAAGGAAAAGTAAGTCTCCTTTGAAATGCTGGTGCTTCATAGATGACCCTTAGTCTCCAGCTTATACCTCATCTAAAAGTTCTGGCTTACTAATATGCCTTTTTTCTACTTGTTGGGAAGTCGTGGTGAGGAGAGGCTTAAAACCATTTGTTTTGTGAGTAATTTTATTTTTTTTCCTACTTATCTGAAATTCATCCTTTAAGAAGGAGGAGGAGATGCTCCCCTTTTACCCTTGACCTCAAGCTCTTGAGATAGAGTAACATCATACTCTTCTTTGCCATCATTTTACAATTCATATTGATGGAATTCAAGAATACAAGGTAGTTTGGTCAGTAATAAGATCTTTCTAAATTACTCACAATCTTCACATGTTACCTTAGATCTTCATTCATATGTTGCATATGATTACCTGATAGATACCTAGCCAAATACGTTGACTGATTCAGTCAGTATACTTAACGAAAATAACTAGTAGATAATGTTCAATTAATAAGTATTCTTTTTTATTCTGACTTCATGTTAAGTATTCAAGTATAAGTATACTCTAAAAGTATTCGAGTATTAAGTATACTCTAAAAAATATAAAGAGTTACTATTTTTAAAAAGTATTCTGAAACATCAGTTTATTTTCCTGCTATCCAGGTAAATGGAAGATAGTACTCTCTTTGAAGCCTTTTTGTAATGGTGGGTTGGGTGGAGTGGGATCCAAGGCTTCTTGTAGATTACCATTCATGCTAACCACAGCTTTCATGTAAACATTTAGTTTTGGTCTCCTGTAGGTCTAATTTTTCTTCAATTTGTTATTTTCTGAAAATTAGGACATGAGAACTGGTAGGGGGAAGAAATGGTTGTCACTTGGTTGAAAAACTGTATAATAGCCAGGCTGTGCTG